GCTTATGTATACAATAAAATCAAATTATGAGCTGGACTAGATGCCACTTTAGGTCTGCAAATTCAACCGTCTGACACAAAATCCAATGAGACTAGTATTGTTAAAATTATACCATGAAAAAATTTAATTCTTTATCCAGCCATTAAATGTCTTAAAAATAATAATTAAAATTTTAATTTATTAAATATTAAAAAAAATAGTTTTCTTCAGTTGATTAGTACTTTTCAACATTTACTAATAAATTTTTTTCTAAATATCGAGATTCCGCTGAAAGAAGATCGATCATTTTGGGGTCCGTATCTGAAAAAAAATTGGAATCCACTGGCTTAGACAATAGATCGGTAATTTCGATCTCACTTTTTACTTATTTTGCTTCATTTAAAAAAAAAATTCAAGCAAATGGAATATATGTTGTTTCATTGCGGTGGGCCACTATTTAAAGCTTCCCAACTTTCCCTAGACCGGGATAGGCAACTATGGTAGTTTGAGCGTTCTACTATGAACCATGAGGTCCTTGTTTCTAATCCCGCCGGCAGCTAACGAACATCTTTCTTACACATTTCTATCTCCACATCACTTTTGAGTCTGTATTTCGCTAAAAAGTGACTATAAGCTCATAACAATAATTTTCATAACTATATTTCATACTGTACTCAAAAGTAAGTACATGGAGTTTTCGAATTCGATTATATTTGTTTCAAAGCTATTTTGACATATTTTTGCCCTTTCTGGCAGTAAAGAAACAAAACTGCCTGATAATATTAGCAATAATTGCATTTCTTAAATAAACTGGTGCTGCATGCGTAGTTTAATCTCCTGAAATGACACTACTTCCGAAAACAATAATATATATATATATATATATATATATATATCTTACTATATATAAAAATCTAATGATGGTGTCGCAGTTTTCCATTGTTGTCCATGCAGTTTTATTGGCCATAAAATCACGTGGTAGGATCCAGTTTTTCCTTCATTCATTTCCATATTATTTTAGTTATCATCAGTACAAAATTAATAAAAGTCACACAAGTATTGTCTTTCTGTAAATATTTTTGTATCCCTAATTTAAGGCTATTTTCCTGTACTGCTACTGTTACGTTTTTAATTCAAGAGTTTAAAACTAAGAGAATTGCTTTGTTTTATTATTATTATGTAATTCCCCGCTACATTTTAAGATAAAGTTATTTAGAAATGTAGGCTAATCTTACTAAACTAAACTCAGTGGCACGACAGCCCAAAGAGGGCCAGGGCCTACTGTGCCCATCTCAGTTTACTTGCCCTTGGGCTCTGGGGTGCAGGAGCAGATGTTTCGGTTAGATGGTCAGCCTAACGCAAAACCCCCAGTGTTTAGTTCCCAAGCTTGCTTGGTACTCGTTTATCGACCCACTGAAGGGATGAAAGGCTGAGACAACCTTGCCCGGCCCGAGGATCGAACCCAGGACCTGTGGCACGGGAGCGCGAAGTTCTACTACTCAGCCATTATTAACCTCAGGCTTATTAACCTTTTTACAATTATTACTTTGTAAAAATAACATTTATATACTGTTATAAATTACAGTTAAAGGGATCTATTAAATGCTTAAGAACTTAGCTATCAGTTTCGTGGACAATGGGATGCAAGCAAAATTAATATTTAATATATCCGCCCGTTTCGTAAAAGAAAATATTAAATCACGGTTGTGAACTCATCAAATTTGTTTAAATAATATAATGTAATAATCTAATATATATAATTCTCTTACGTGGCTCCCAAATTTTGGCTGTATTTCTTTTCCGTCGGTGGCAACGTTTGCTTTGTTTTGTTTACGTTATTATTTCTCTTACACTTCGACGAAAAAAACCTCATTGCNTATATCTTGAATTTATTTGTTTTATTATTGTTATTAGTTATTCATTGAAAAATGAGTCTCAGTCGCGCTGTTACGCCTTAAGATTTTATACTATAGCACATTTCTAATAGGTTTAACGAATTGCATGTCATTTATTTGAATTCAAATTTATTTTAATGACTTAGTATTTACTAAAAAGATGTAATTTTTTTTAAAAAAAAAGTTTTTATATGGATTTGAATGATTCTTTTGAATTCTTAGAATTTTGTGCATTTGCAATGTATCTAAGTTAGTAGCGAGCGAAGCGAGCTTGGTTTGCGAAGCAAACCATATAAGATTGCGTAGCATTTTTTGGGGGTTGGCGAGCGTTAGCGAGCAGGGGGGCAGCCTACTAGTATATATATATATATATATATTGAAATGTTTTCTTATATTTTTCGTTTCTTTTCCAGGATATAAATTATTATGGCATGTGATGTATAATTGTATAATCTAAATTCTCGAATATAAAAGCTGTTTCAAAGCTTCTTATAGTATCTATTCACCCAGCATGTTTATTTCTTGTTTGTGTTCATCAAATTTTAAAAAGATCCATAACAATGACAAAAATATTTCTATGTGCAAAAATGTATTTTTTCCCAATTTCGAGCATGCATTTTTCATTCCATATCACGGCAAACAACAATAGTTCTCTAAAATAATTCTCTGTTATGATGAAATAAATAAAGTACGATTTTTGCATTATTATGTTGAGCTGCTTTAGAGAAAGTAATTTGCATTTTTAAAACTCGGGAAGGATGATTCTCGAAAACATTTCTTTTCCCGAATGCAAAAGTAATTGCATGATCCTAAAATAACCACGCTTTGGGTTATGGTTACTTCAAGATTATTTTTTTTTTAATTTTGCATCATATTTTATTTAAAAGATTTTAGCTTTTCATAACTTAAATTTTTTATATAATGTTGAAAGTAAGTCCTCGTTATTTAATTCTTTTAAAGTGAATTTATGTCTTAAATTGAGATATTAAGTTTGGAGACTGAGTTTTTTAACAATTCATCGAAAACAAGTGAACTTCAAGATGGAAAACAATACGAAAACAGTAAATTATAAGCTTTGTTTGAAATAGTTAGGAATTATGCTAAGGCTGAAGATACTCTTAATTACATTCACTTTATTATTCAGCAATTCTTCATATGATTTAAAGAAACACGTGCAATTTTTATTAAACTATATCATTCGTATACTACCAGTAATTTTTATTACCTTCATATTTTTCAAAATGTTTTTAAAATTGATAGTTTTTATAAGAGTCTTAAATTTTGAAATCGTCAGAATTCCGAAAATTTTGATTTAAGCATAGTTATTTTCGTTTTGTTGATTTTTAAGCTACACGAAGCTGATTTTTGAATATTTTTTATGTTTCATTTTTTTTTAAATTATAAATTATGTTACTTAATCAAAAGATTTAATTGAGAATTATTATCTATAATTCGTAATTAATATATCTTCAGTATGAATAAAATATGTTTGAATTACCTGATAAATTTTACCGTAAATTGGAGTTACACTGTAAGAAAGGGTTTCTCAAAATTGAGCCAAAATGTTTCAAAATGGCATCGAAATAAATAAAATTCAAGTTTGAAAACCCTGTGTATTCAAAATCGAAACAACATATACTCATTTTTGAGCAAAAAGCACAGTTTCAAAAGGGATGAGAAGAGAAATATGTATGAGACATGTTCTTATAAGAATGCTTTAAATACCGTAGATATACAGTCTAGTTCAGGGAGAGTTAGGAAGCTTAATATTGTGGCCGCCGCAGTGACATCTTATGGTATGCTAATTTTCAATCTCAGTGGTCCATTGCAATTTGAAAATTATGATCTGGATAATTTTACTTTTTTTATTTTTTTTTTTATTTTGCTTCATTTTAAAAACTTTTAAACGAAAGATATGTATGTAATGATACATGTATGCAATAACTCGTCCTGAACTGAGGTGTACAACTATGATGATTAAAGCTTCCTACTATGAACACGAAGGTCCTTGGTTCGAATCCTACTGGCAGCCAACGAACATCTCTCTCACATATTTCTGCCTCTACATCCCTTTTGAGACTTTGCAGTGGGCTCAATGATGAGTATATGCTGTTCAAATTTTAAATACATGGAATTTTTAAATTTGACTATTGTTAGTTTCTAATCTATTTTGGAACTTTTTTTTTCAATTCTTAAAAACCTTTTTTACAATACACTTAAACCTAAATTTTTTTTAAAGATTTTGGATATTTAATACCTTTTAAAATTAGCATTGAAATATACTGGTCGTGTTCGCCAATAAAACGATTAGAAAGCCAAAGAAGTTAATAATTGTGGTTAAAGAACCTGCTTTAGATAATTTCTGAAAAGTACAAGAGTAATCTGCAAGCAAACTTTCACCGTGTTACAAAGATCTCTTTAACCCCTTAGCGATCGGTAAATTTTCAAGAAAACAGTCATAAAAGTGCCTATTTTTTGGCTTTTGTATTTGTATTACGTATTCGATTAGTGATGAAATCTAGTTTAAAATAAACTATTGATAAACTACCTTAAAAATTATCCTGGTACTGCTTTCTGGTGAGTAAAATGAGAAATAAAATATTTTCCGGGCAAAATAAATGAATTAGTTTTATTCTTATTGCCGATTTACTACTGAACACTCCAGCCCGTCAATATCACGGGAGAGAGAAATAGAGAGCAAAAACTCACCCCGTCATTTTCACGGGAGTGAGAAGGAAGGGGTTAATATATGACTCTATTATTAGAGAAATAAAGTCCGATCAACAAGCACTATAAGCTGGTAAACTAACAGAGGGAGTAGGTGGAATAGAATCTAAAAGCATGGTCAGTGTAGAAAGTATCTCTCAGAAGCAAAATAATTATCATGTATACACAATTATATCATTATAGGCTATTACTACATAACTACTAGTCATGTAGTCATTAGGCTATTACTATTATGCAAAATAATTATTATTATAAGCTATTACTGTAAAATTTAATAAAATGCTTATTTTATTTTAAATTTTTTCTTCACATTCTATCTGAATGCATTTCTGGCTCCCTAATAAAATATCAAAAAAATATAAATTGCAATGATGATAATTTTTTGAATTATTTTTGTAGATTCATATAGAAGTAGGAGAACGATACAAAGCATTCTGGTGTGTTCGTAATTGGCATCAACCATGGCTTTGGCGAAGCTATGAAGTCTATATGATGCTTCTAATTCTCATCGCTCCTTCTTTAATAATGGGTTTCGCGTATTCTAAAATATGTCACCAATTATGGATAGTGATGAAAGACAGAGCAAGCATGGTCTCAGGTGAAATGTAAGTTACGCATGCGTAATCTCAAAACTAATTTAATTATCATAAAAATAATATTTATTTAAATTGCCATTCTAATTTTGATATAAGACTGTATATTAAAAAGCATTAGGGGAACCGGAAATTAATGTCGTTTCGGCACATTAAATATTCGTTAGTCCTAAAAACCAAATAATTTTTTTTCGATCCATTTCGATTATTTTCGATCAGGCATTGAAAGGTTGCTTCTAACGAGGGTGAATAGATTATAGATTAAAAATAAAATCTTGATTACAAATATCAAATGCACCGAAACGACATTACTTTCCAGTCTACCTAATATTAGTTACTGAACATTTAAATTTTCAAATTCTTTTTCAATTGATAAATGAAAGCTCGAAGAAAAGCGTAATTTAATAAAGCTTTTTACTATCTAAGAAAAATTGATGAAGAGAGAGCTAAACGCATAACAATAAATTTTATTTCTATATATGTGCTGTATAAATGTTTATAAAAGAAACTTTGCAATAATGTCCCTTTTAGGTTCAAATAATTGTGCAAGTATATTTCATTAATTTTCTAATTACACCAAGACTAACAAGTATCAAAAATGTATCAGAAATATATATAAACTACTTTTGCTTGCTTAATTAATAGCTTAAATTAATAGCTTAAATTACTTCTTAACAGCCTATAAAGTTGTTTAAAATGCCTTGTTCATTAAAAGTATTTTTGTCACAGTGGAATAATTGCAAGGATCTTTTCTGTTCATCTCTCATATAAAAATATTTGTGCGAACACAGGTTCATTATCAGGGTGGGCACATTTTTTATTTTTAGAAAACTGTTAGTCTATTTTAAGTTTTATACTTACATTTATATATAAATATACATACATATGAAAAATAAATCTGCATATATACCTAAAATTTAAAATAAATGGTCAGTTTTTTAAAAACAAAAAGTGAGCCTCCTTACTTTACTACTATGAAAAGTCATTAAACATTAAAAGGCAAGTTTTTGAAAATGAAAATTTCTGCATTTGCTTTAAGCAATTAACCACTTATTTTTCCAATGATTAAAAACTTATTTATTATAGGTTATTACTAGTTCCTTTCAATAAAACATATCTTCCTTTGATAAATTTCTTACTACAGAGCCAGTATATAACTCCACATTATAGTATGGTATGCTAGCAAAGTAATTTCATGAAAACAGAATAAATGTTATTATATCTTAAAAAAATATAAGTTATTGAAAGACTAAATTTTTGTTACTTTTTCCAATTTGAATTTTCGAATTCATAATTCGCGATTTCATAATCTGTTTTATTATAGGCCTGGTACTGAAATAGCCCTAAAGGAAACTCATCCAAGGAATCAATTTTTGACTTACAACAATTCAAACGTTAAAATGAAAAAGCCAAAACTTCAAAAGTTAGAAGCGGACAACACAACTGTCAAACAGGTAAGCTAAGGGTAATGTATAAAAAAAATTTAAAAAAAAAAGGAATATCAAAAATCAATTAAAAATATATCAAGTTTTAATAATACGCAGTATATTTTTAATTGATACGAAATTATTTCCTAATTCATTGATTTAATTTAATTCAAGCGAAAGAAAAATGATTATAAAATATATGAATTAAATTATATAAATTTGAAACAATGTTTCCCCTCGATATTAAATTCTCCTAAATTAAAAACTTGGGATTTTATATAATTCTTTTGTTAAAGCTACCAACTTAATGCGTTGTTTCATTTAAATAACTTATTTTCTTTCGTATTACCAGTAATAACTTTAATAATATTTGAGGTTAAAGCAAGTATTTATAGTATTAAATTTCTGCAATTAGTTTAGCTCTATGTGTATCATCCGAAATATAAATATAAATAAAGGAAAATAAATCAAGGTTATTTCGATTATTTCCAGCAGCTTCTCGCTTAATTTTATAATGTTGTTAGTTAAAAAAAAGCAAAACATATTATTTGTTACAAAAGGTAAAATTTTTAGTGAATAGAATATTTGCTTTTGGCTCAAACAACTCAAGTCAATATTAATTGGTTGAATTACTTATTGTTTCAAAATTGTATAGATCACAATATCAACACAAAATTTTTGATTCACATTTTTGAGAGGCTGTGATTGATCAAACAATTAAAGGGCTTTATGATATTCCTTTCCATGTATCGCAAATACGGATTAATTTTATTAACAAAGTTATCTAAGTAAGTATAGCCTAATTAACCTTGTTTTTCGTTTTATGAATCTGACTTATGATTCCAATGTTATAAACATAAACTTATAATACAAGTAAAACTTTCTCCATCTTTTGTGAGCAGTCCATTGGTTCCTCAATTGCCTTAATGTTTTTCAATTTTATAATAATTTTCAACTGCTTTTTAATTATTTTGTTATTAATAAAGAAGGTTCTTGGGCCTTCCAGTCTGACGGCGCTCAGTGGATTGCGATGTGGCAGTTGTCTCTCTGCTGTCGGTTTGGTGCTACCGCCCTGTGGGTCTGAATCTGGGGCTGGACTGCTCATGGGTCTCCTCTCAGCCTGTCGAGGTGATTGGGGTTATTTATATCTGGTGTGACTCTGGGCTCTGTATCTAATGTAAGTACGCATTGCTTAGCACTCGCTCTGGGCGAGGCTGATTCGCGTGATGAGGCATCTATATGGGCTCACCGGGCATGGGTTGCTGTAATTATCTTCTTATAAGCATGAAACTCATTACCTAATATTCACTAACAAGGAATGATAACGACGAGTTTAAATAAAATAGTTGAGAACTAGGAGAGACAAATTGAATGGGATACAATGTATCATATTTCATAGCATAAGTCACTGACTGGAATAAATATTTTTTAAAAATTTGTATCATTTTCAGGTTATAAAAATGTTAGTGGCTGTTGTGATTCTTTTCATCATCTGTTGGGGACCGATTCTCATCACCAATGTCCTCACTTCCTTCGATATCCTCGATAGACTCAATTACGGTTATTTAAAACCCATGAGAACAGCCTTCCATCTCTTATCTTACTTCAACAGTTGCATAAATCCCTGCGTCTATGGGTTCCTGAGTGCTAACTTCAGAAACAGCTTCAAGGCAGCCTTTCTCACCTGCATGTGCGGTAAGACCCAGAAGAAGAGGGTACAAAGAGCTCTGAGTCGAACAGGTACAACTTCCGTCAGCTATGCTAGATCTACTTTCATCACCTGATGGCTGAAGGGGGCGATCACAATTAAACCTGTGAATAGAATGGCTATGGCTATGTAGTTCGACTCTCCCTGAAGTAATTTTGTAAGAGTTTGAGACCGCCCCTTGAGAATGTTTCCTATTTATATTGTAATTCACTTTTTCCTCGTGTGGTTGCTATTTATATTCCATATCTGAAATACGTTCCCTCTTCCTAATGAGCTTATATGTTATTTATTGAATCATCCACTTAAAAACCCTTCCATATTTATGACATTTTTAACTACATGTTTCTGTGTTTGTTAGATAGAATTGATGTCGATCTTCGCAACTTTGGATATTTTTAAAATACAAAGTATACAATGTTTCCGTCACTTTAAGAAATTAACAAAGTAGTGGAGAGCATACACAATACACTAATGGTTCACCTAATGTCCCATTTGGAAGTAACCAGAATGTGCCAGAAATAGAACTATACTACATAAGACATGAGAAAAGTGAACATAATGTAGTCACTGTTCAGGATATGTCAGTGTTTAACAGCATGTCAATGTGAACAGCGGAACTTAAACAGTATCCGAAAAGAATGGACCAGATGTAGTTACCAAATTAGGTGATGAAGTAATAAGTACATAAATAATGAAATGTAGCTTCAAAACCTAGTATGTCATTATTCGAAAAAGAAAAAAAAAAGTATGTATCGAGACATGGATGTCATTACTCAAAAACAGGTCAACAAAATGCGGATACTAAGCCTGGTATGTCAATATAAAACAATAGTGATGGAGCAGTGTTCAAAACCAAACCAAACCTAGGTATTAAGCGAAACATCTCAGTATTTATCTGTGTATATTTTCAAAGATATCTTGAGTGAGAAAATGTCTTATCATAAAATAACAATACTTTTTTTAAAAATTGAACTGGGGGAGATTATGTTACTGTCCATTGAGCATCAAAAAATTCTTATCAGTTCATCTATACAGTAAAAATTTCGAACCCAATCATAGTACCGGTACTCAAGGTGCTGGTACGTTGTACATAAACTCCATTTTTAGCGGAATGCCACTAAATAAAAAACTTGATGAAACAAAACAAAAAAACAATAGCCACAGAAAAAAAGCCTGATATACAGTAATGATTACAGTTATATTGCTGAATCACTTTAATTATAGGAAAATTACTGTAAAAATTATGGTATAATATTTTATAGATGATGCACCCATAGTGCCGGAATTTTTGACAGTGTATCTAAAATTGAGATTAGAGGAGTTACACTGCTCTAAAGAATATGATCGTATCTAAATTCCCAATGAAGAGGTACATAAACATTTTTAAGTATTCTATTTTTTGTATTTATGTACATGGTAATATCATTACGGTATCAAATGTTTTATTTCCACATGGTAACTTTAAAAAAAAAATTTAAGAATCGCTTTAAAAATTTAACGGTTGTAATTAGATGCATTTTTGTTTTAAAATTAAAACTTCTTTGAAGAAATTAAAAAAAAAAAACTTTACTGCAACTTGATTTGTCATTCAAATAGTCGAATTAAATTTATTTTTAGAATCAAAATTTATATTTAAAGCGTACTGATGTTGGCTAGAATAATTAAGAAAACAATGAATTAGTTATAGGTCACTAAAATAGCTCAAAATCTGATGACCAATCTGTCAAAATCTAGATGGCAGATGCAATTTCCTTTAAAAAAAATAATGAAAAAGTTTCGTTGTCATTCTATTGTGCAGATAATTATTTTCCATCCTATAATGTAGATAAATTTGACGAACATTCCTAAAACTGTCAAAATTTGTCTTCAAAGAATATGCTATGTATATATATAAGGGAACAATATGAGCATCTTATTGATATTCTTATTAAAAGTGAATTTATTTATGCAAATTCCTAACATCCTCTGACTAATATGCATATATTAAATGTGAACACGATTAAAGTTGAGTATTTAAAGAGAGTGATAATGAATGATGAATTGTATTTTAATGTGACAAAGAAGGGTTGGCTTTAAAGAACATGTTCTGTTTCTGAACATGTTCAGCTAGTCAATTTAAAAAGTATCCTTCTTAAGGTTTGAAGTATGCAACCATGAAAAGTTTTTTGATTCATATTACATCTTATATATCTTAAGATAGAGTTAGTAATTTATTTTTTTTATTTTCCAATGTATTTTGAAAATTATCAAATTACTTTAAATACCACGACGCTAATAAAATAAAATGCAATTAAACTCAAGATTAACATGTCTACATTAAAATATATTATAATTAATATATTTTCTAGCCTATATTATATCTGTAACAAGATAGAATTTCAATATAGTACATCTTTTAGGAAAATATAAAACTTTTAAAAAGTGCTGAATGATATCTGATTAATTCTTATTGTATATTTGAATATATTTATAACGAACACTACTGCATATTTCAATATTATACTTATCCTTTGAAAGTTTTGCATTATATATAGTTTAAAATTAAATAACTTTTGAACAATAGCATAAAATAATTATATAATTTTAATGATGTAAGTAAACAAGCAGGTAAATAAATCTTGTCGTTTTTGCCTTTGCTAGATAAATACAATCAAATTTAATTATTTTTAACCAAATCTATAAAAATACGCTGAGATTTGATAATATAATGAAGTCATAAAGAACAAGGTTAAGATAATGGGAAAGAGAAAACGTTTTACTAGTTTAACAATGGAATCGTAATTCCAAATTAAACTTTTTCAGTAGGAAAAGCAAAGTTTCAAGAAACTGCCTATATAAACACATTTTTCGTTTATGCTGGAAGCCTCCTGTAATTTTTATGTAAACTCTAAGAGATTTGGAAGATCAAAGTATTGCATAATTTGTGGTCAAAATGAAAGTCAAGTAAAATCAATATCGTTTTTTTCATACCATTTATAAACTTTCATTGATGTAAATGGTAGAAATATGTGTAAAAACTGATTCCATATAAACCGAATTGTAATTCTTTGTGACCAATAAATATTGTTTTGACCTCTTTGCTGCCTTTTTTATGAAACGTAAGTAAAATATAGGAATTGTTACTAAATTTAAACCAGGTTGTCACTTTGTATGTTATAACGTATTAGTTGAACTGCATCAAACCATTGAACTAAATGCTGTAATTATTGTTATAATGCAGTAAAAATAATTCAAATAATCTAAAAAAAAGTTGCGCCAAGTGGCAAACTTTTAGGTACTTTCCTCTCAGTAATTTGTCAAAAATTGCTTAACATTTTAGGTAGTATTTAGGTTGATAGAGAGAAACTAAAGCATAGGCCATTCTCAATGATGTATAGCTTCCTATATATTTCTTTTTATTTTACATTAAATTGAATAAAAATAAACCCAATTTGAAAGAATAGTTAGATGTTATAAGGATTTCATAGATAAAAATAATTATTTTTAAATTTCACCTATTAACGGGTCCAACACATCTAGTAAGCTGAAATGGAATGATACCAGACAAAGTTATTACAACTAGTAGGATTACATAGTTAAACAAAACTGCATCTTGATATTAATCTTTTGTCAGCTCGAGGTTACTGCGTTTAGTTTTCGGAACATTTTTTGTTCCGAGTACCGAAGTCTATTCGAATGTTTTCGCGTCATTGTTTCCCATATTTCACAGTTTTTCAGAAAAATATTCACGAATGTTTTACAATGCATGTGTTTTTGAGCAATCTTGAAAAAAAGGTATCTACAATATATAGTGGATAACTTCTAACACTCTCAGTCCAATATATATGCATTCATTTTGTTCAATTTAATGTTTAAAAAAGCATTGAAAAAAAAACAAGACATAATTTGCTCATATAGCAATATTTAAGCTTATCCCCCATGAAACTCTTTTTTCCTTCCTCCTCCAAAACTAAACTTACGAATTTATACATTTTCCCCAAAACTACTAAATGGCGGGTGTTACTTAACAGTTTGCTACGTATTGCAATGCAATATGTAGCGAGATATTGCAATGCTGTTTCATTGCAATATCGTCAGAACTGAAATTATAAGATATATAGGACATTGTTGATAGTTTTTAATCTAACTATTTGAGTATTAATAATTACGGTATCGATAAAATTTAAATTTAAGAAACAAATCTGGTGTTTCTTTATTATCTGTATAATAAATATGGAACAAAAAACCTTTTGATTTAGACCTTAAGAAAACCTTAACTGGATTCTAAGATTAAGAAAACCATAACAAGATTACCACTGGACAGGGAATTTTCCAGCTTGAAACCTGCAGGAAAATCTGAAAACAAAATGCATAAGTTATATTGAATAGTACACAACGCACAAATCAAATAATGGTTATTTTCACATTGTATTATTTTTTAATAAAACTATATGTGATGTGAAACTCAGTATAAAATGTCCCTGTTTGATTCATTCCACAACCTCTGAAAAATAAGTTCAACATTGAACCATAATATCGAAATATCGAACAAATAGATAATGCAAATTTGTTATAACCTTAATCAGGTGTAAAATTGGTGTCTTCTTTTCCTAGTTAAAAATTGAGAACAAGTATCGCTATATTCAAGTGAAAATGGTTTCGATTCTATAAGAATATGGTTAAAAAAATATGGTTTCATGCTGTTATGGTTGCAGCAAATTAAAACAATACGCAGCAAATTTGCGCAAAATTTGAAAACAGTTTTGTGACACTGTTTCTAACAGTACAGTTCAAGGAAGTGTAGTTAAAATTTAAACAACGAAACATAATTTAAGTTATTAAATTTAGAAAAAGATGGCTAGGTCACATCTATAGAAAGGATAATAGTGACCCAGTTTAGAAGCTGAATTTTGGAAAGTTTACAGGCAACCGATAAAGGGGAAGACCAACCACCAGATGAATTGATTTTGTGGAATCAGATCTTCAAACTATGGGCATCAATAGATGGAGAAACCTAGTGTCTGATAGAGCCAAGTGGAAATGACTCGTTCAGGCGGCTCTGATGGCCTGTACTAGACTGTCATGCTGATGAAGGAAAAAGTTTAAGGAACTTATGGAAAAAAATATGTCGTTGATTAATTACTCCTCATAAAACAATTTTTATACAGCATATGATTATTTTCCTTAATTATTGCTACCTTTTATCTTTTAAAACTATAAAATATGAGAAATATGTGCAATATTTAGTGTAATTCAAATTTAAGTTTAATTTTTAAAAGGTTATGAAAAAGGAGAACTGGTCGTTATGTCGAGATATTTCCATTGAGTGTACACGAAGTAATTTAATTCCATTCGCATAGAAAAATAGTTCAAACATTTACGGATAGATGGAGCTGTACTCCTCTTAAGATGTTAAATAATTACTGCTTTTAAAGAAATTAATTGCAAAAAGTTTAATAAAGAATAGGCGTGCGTCTTGAAAATTACCTGGATGGGGAAAAGATGGGATGGATAAAAGATGGGGAACCTAGTCACCCAATATTCATTTTTACAATACAGCTTCATATGTAGAGCCAGATCCTTCAATTATATTCATGATATCTCACATGCATAAAAACAGAAAATGTACCTTGCCCGCCTTTTAATCAGAAATGTAATTTTCGGTATTTAAAAGAAATATAATTTAAAAGATATGCTAAAAATTAGCATATCTTTCAAAACCATCGTTTTCAAGCATTGTTTGAAGAGTAGAGTAACATCTATCGATCATATTTTAAACTGCTTTTTCTTCTGTAAAACAAGTTTCCATATCTTTTCATGTTCTGAAGATATCGTAAGCATCGTTTAAGGAGTAGAGAATCTTATATCGATCCACTTTTAAACTATTTTTCTCTTTCTGTAAAATAAATTCCCATATCGTCATGTATACTGAGATAAAATATTAGATCATTCTGACTGTTGGTTTTTCTTTCATTGTTTTGAAAGTTAAACTTTAATTTTAATTCCCGTGTGTTTTTCTTCTTTCGTAGTTCTTTATACTTATCTTTGAAATCTATCTTTACAGTTTTTCCCTTTTATTTTCACTCTCAGCATCCTTTTATTTCCATCAATTTTTTATTCGCAAATTTTTTTTTAAATCTAAACCTTTTTTTATGTATAAAACTACTAAAATCTTGATTAAAAACCCTGTTTTTTTCATATACTGAATAGTTTGAACTTTTTTCATGTTTAGTTTTGTAGTACTACTTACTTCCTGGAAAATAAAAATATTTAAATGCCTTCTCGAGATATAGTTGAAGTTATTTCTCAGATGTTATAAACATTTTTAATTCTGTATAGTTTAGCATATATCGAATTATTTTTTATTTTATCACATTCTCATTTATTTAAAAAAAATCGATTAATCTTAAAAAATATGCATTTATTAAAATAGCACTATCACAAACAAAACTTAGCAAGGAATTTGTGTAACATTTTATGAACCAAACAAATATAGACTAAAGATATTATGTAAATTTTGAAACTTACACAATAATTAAATTACGAAATATTAACTGGAGCCTGACGAATAAACAAAATTTACTTTTCTATATTAAAATTAAGTTAATTTGTAATCAGATAAACTTTATTCCTTTTCTAATTAACTAAATATCTGAAGTTCTCGCTAGTAATTAATATGAGAGTAATGATAAAATATTTAGTATTTTATTTTATCAATACTCTCATATAAATTGCACCCTCAAAAAAGCATAATATTCGTAATTGAATATTATTCGAAAAATTGAATAATATTCAAGGTATAGGTGATTTTAATTAGCACTTAAAAGCATTTTAGCTAATATTTTGAATATACCTAGCTATACTTATTGGGCTTTTATTATGTATTGAATAAATTGCATTCAAAATATTAAAAAAATTAACCTTCACAATTTCAACTTACTGTAATAACTAGAAAACATTATTTTCCTGTAGGGAGATAGATTTTTTCTAAGAAAATGCTATATGTAGAATTTGAAAAACAAAAATATGCGTGCAAATTTAGGCTTTTAATTAAAAAAATTTCATAAAACTAGGTCTTCATGAAACATCATAAACTTTACCAAGTCCAGATGGGAATAAAAAAGAACATTGTTTATAGATGTATAACCATTTTTCCAACTGATTTTGCACAAATTATGAATTTTTCATACGGTCATATATATATNAAAACATTTATAATACTATATATATTGTTGACTAAATAGAATTATTAGTTAGATATTTTGGTACTATGAAAAACTTAGAAAATAAAATAATTTCAAGTTGAATGTTAATGAAGAACTTCCAATTTGTAGTATTTGCCACAAAATTGAATTTTAATGCATTTGTACTTTGCCATACGCCCATTGAATGTGGACTTATACCTTGCTTGCAAATATACATAATTGTACTGTAAATACAGTATAATTGTAAATGACTTCGTCAACATATTTCCAAATAAGCATAACATTCGAAAGCACTGAATAAAGCTTAGTATAAAAGTATTATAAGGCACTAAGCAATGGTGTAAAAAACTGTTTTTATTAATATGATTATCGAGCCTCAAGATTAAGGCTGAAGTGGCAGAGTTTTAAAATTTCTTAACACCAACGCTTTGTAATCGAAAAGTGATACTTTTAAGAACTCAAAATGGAGTTGGAAAAGCTAGACAGTGATGAAGAAAGTAACATGCCCCAATAAACCACTGTTCCGATCTAAAAAGTGTTAAGTAAAGCCTAATCTCTGGCTCGATAAAAATTTATAAAATAAACTCCATCTTTGCGGGATGCTACTTTTATATACTGAAATATCATTTCTGCTCTTCTTTCAGATTTCCCTTGTGAGGATCAAGTTTCAACAAAATATAATATATATAAATAAATAAATAGGTGTTGCCATGTCATTTAGAAATTCGAATCTTCTGTCACTGTAAGCGTAACCGTAAAAGCTGAACAGTCGTTTTTAACAATATTACTGAGCACATTATTCTTTTTCATGCTCCCATGCCCGTTATGCTCTCCACGGAGTCATATGTTGGCAATCACTTTGTATATCAATTATCTGCT